GATGTGACCCTTAGTGTCACTGCCGTCCCGCTTTGACAACTTAAGCCCAAGTTTTACTTATCAACTCTTTCACTTGACTTGAGCCAAGCGAGGTTGATTGTACTTATTTCCTGCATGTTTAATTTGAACTACTTAAAATCGTTAGACTGTTAATCCTCCATCTAATCACATAAAGGGAATAGAGCAAGGGTGAACAACTGAATCTTAATTTTAATGTCCATTGTATATCTCTTGTTCTTCCAAAATGCTATAGTGAGGTTCGTACTTCCAGATTTCATCAGAACTGCTTTAGTTCGGTTTCCTTTGTCTATCTCGGTAGTTTGGTATTACTTACATAAACAACTATTCCCAATTTATGTTGACTATTCTGCCTAACGCTCTTTACTCGTGAGCTTGATCACGAAGGGTCCGTCGACGTGCTGATGCATTAGACATTAAAAGGTTGTGTGTAAAACTGTGATAGTTTGACGAGAAATTCCTCTCATGAAGGCCTTTCCTTAATGAGATAATTAGCACCTCGTCTGGAATCAGAGGTTGCAACAAGAATGCGTTGTTATTTATATCTTACCGCTCGAAAAAGTTTGAAAACATTGATTTGCCGGAGACCTTAATCTCAGGATGTGTCGAATTCAACTATTTTGTGGTACTTCTTGGATATATATATATCTTCGGTATGTGACACATCAATTACGTAAAACAGGAAAGGCAGTTAACCATGCGCTTGGGTTTGAACATGCGGTATAATCGACCCCTGGAGTATTTCTGGTGTCATGTGACCGAAAGTTATTATCAGTTGTTTGCAGTTTGCAAAAATTAACGAAAAGTGAAACAGTCTGCGGGTTTCACTTGTTTCTACCCATCCTCCTTGCATGTGATTGCTGGCGTACCCTAGTTCGCTGTCACACGCAGCAGTCAAGGTAATCCGTCTAGTATCAAGCTGCTGTAGTATTCTACCTAACGACCAAATCAGTGTTCAGTTTTGTCGTTCATTCTCTGGCTAACCGGAATCAACCGAGCTTCAATGTTGTATGTGTTTACACATTCCCGGACTATTTCCATTTTGCTGGCTGATTGGATGAAATGGGTTCAGTAGGTTTGTCCCGGAACTCGTCTTTTCGTGCCGTGAAACAGCCTCAGTAGGTGTATATGTTGAAATAATAAACAGGCCGTTTGTGGTGTTGATTCCTTTCGGAATACTGATGAAACCCAGAGCCCACAGCGCACGAAAACGACCGTTGACGGGGATCTGAATAATACCTGAAGTCTCAACTTTGTTGCTTGGAACAATACCTACTCCGCACTGGCACAACTGAGCTTTTTCGTTTCCTAAGAACTACGTGGGAAATAAATCGTATGCTGCGGACCTGCTTTTCCTACCGAGATCGCTGTTTGGCGTCTCCGATTCGCGGCGGATACTTATTGCTAGAGAGCTCAGACAATCTTGTTGACCCACCTACGTGAGTCTTCAAACGAGACCCTCAGTTTCAGGGTTAGACGAGACTTTCAAAACCAGCAGTCTACTGGGTGGCTGGTATACTACTTACAGCGATATCTGACTGTTTTTATTTGGGCGATTTTTCTGCTATCATGTTACATGCTGGTAGGTGAGGCCAAGAGTTTGTTGGAGGTAGATGACAAAGAATCGAACAAAGTAAACGAAATTTTGTGGCAAATAAGCTCATTTTATGTAATTTATCCTTTGCCCAGTAGATTGTAACGGTCCATAGCATAAGAGAGAAAGTAAAAATAAAATAGGACGGACTGTTGCGGAGAAAACTCGTATTTTTGTCTTCGGGCTGATTTCATTTCTATGCCAAAGGGAATTTTTCAGTTATAGAAACACCTTTCTTGCAGCAGACTTTTATCTCATCTTTAGCTTGGCTATGGAACAATATGGTTGAGCCCAAGTATTCGATTTGAGCCGAGGCTTTCGATCGGTTCGCCATTTAGTAGTAAAGCATCCTCGGGATGAATTGGGACTGTACGCTCCCTATTGGATCATCTGTACAGATTCTTCTTTCCTTAGTCACTATGTATCGAATCGGGTTTCTTTTGCTTTCCAACTCATAAAGCTCTTGAAGTCGATATATTGATTATTTTATTTTAGCTTCCCAATGATAGCGCATTGACGAGTCCCATTTAGCCGACATCCGGGACTATCATCTGTTCATTATATCGCCTCTCCTGAAGTGAACTTTACATTTGGGTGTACTGAGCTGAATACATTTATGAGTTTGGAGAAACAAGATATCATATTGTCCGTAGACATCAGTGATTGCTTTTTTTCAAGACATTTTCTATTTTAGCTATGAAAACATGCGAGCAGTAGACCACGGAGAGACTCGGTTGCTATTTCCCTTGTTTGGTAACAAATCCCGTTGTGACACTGAGAATGCACGTCGTATGCATTAATATAGCAGTTTTCTGCGATCAATTTATGCTATTTAATGTTTCATAATTTCTTTATGTTTATATATGTATCAGCATTCATACAAAAAACCAAACAATTTTTCTGGGAAAGCGAAAGTTTACATCATGGGTTATATGGAGCTAATTTCATTTTCCAACTCTATATATGATCAGTGATCACACAACTGCTCGCGATAGAAGGTATGTGGGGGTGGGCCAGGGGAGCTGGTTTGTATATCGTCACTTATGAACATCAACAATGGCACGCGTTCCAGGTTTTCTTCAGCTGTTGTTTTTCTGAGATACCCGTACGATTCAATATANCTCACCGTGGTAACCTATTGGGTGACATGAGTAACACATGTCCCAGCCAACGTAATCTATGGAGGTCGACCACTTGCTCCAGTGGGCGACCGTATTTACCCAAAGCTTTGCCCCTAACCTCAGCATTGCTCATCCGACTACCCCGCCAGATTCGTGCAATGCTGCGTAGACAGCGGTGTTCAAACATCGACAATCTGTCTTTATCCTGTTTTCTTAATGGCCAAGTTACTGCACCGTATAGCAGCACTGGCCGAACAGTCGCGGCATACACTCGACTCTTCACAGACAGCAGCTGAGAAGAGTGGCACACAATCAATATGGATAACATTCAGGGCGGATTAGCCGTTTTTTCTCCACACTAGTATCGGAAAAATGATGGCCGAAGTTGAACTGCAGCTGAGGCCATCTCATATGAAGCCATTACAGCGCCCAACAAAACGGAGCACGTACTGATTCTACCAACAAATTCCAATCGCGTCGCCCATCCATTTGGAAATGAGTTTATCTCATTGATAGTCAACGAGCTATTCAGCAGACAGAGAGAGCGGATCTACTGACCTGAATTCCCAGTGAATTTCGTTTTATCTACGAAAAGAAGTAAATATCTATCCAGCATAACGAGTTGCAAGATAAGTAAACCCGGAGCACACTGTTGTTGGTCTCCTGCACAAAGTCAGGTATTTACAATCATTAACCATGCACTTTCGTGCGCCTGTTTTGGTTGCTGTCGTTTAGTGCCCCATTTGGATAAAAGANGCTGTTTTCCGGTTCAATACCACGCCTAACCTATCGGGACCTTATGTGGTTCGCCACTCCAAGTTCCGGGGCCTAGGTTACCGATTTCAACCACTGAACAGCAGGTCCTTGTGACTATGGGGTTTACCCCGTCTGCTGTTCAACACACCTAGGTGTGTAATAAAAAAATCATTACACTCCGTTCGATGCAAACCGCCCCTGGTCCTTCTGCGTCCTAACCGATGCAGTATGCAATTCCGTTTTTCCTTTGGATAGACTTAGTTCAGTTTTTACAACCATGCACTTTCGTGCGCCTGTTTTGGTTGCTGTCGTTTAGTGCCCCACTTGGATAAAAGAGCAGAATTAAGATTGGAATGTTGAAAGCAAATTCAAGCGGAAGATGGAGAGTTCAAATAAAATGATGTTAGGGGAATAATGAGTGGATGCACGAGCGTCACTGTTTGCGACACCCAGCCATATCACTCAGTCTCTAACCATCGATTACGATTATCCCGAGGTCCCCAGCCAGGGAGTCTAACGGGACCTATGTGGCCTAGTCTCCTGCTTAGGATTTCATACCCTCATGCCAGGCCTTCGTTTGACTACCCTTGACCCTTTTCCAACCGCTACCTGCCTCGGCAAACATCAGTCGCCGTGGCAACCTATTGGGTGACATGTGTAAAACATGCCCCAACCAACGTAATCTATGGAGGTCGATCACTTGCTCCAGTGGACGACCGCGAATGCCTAAAACTCTACGCCTAACCTCGGCGTTGCTAGTCTGGTTATCCCACCAGTCTCGTGCAATGCGACGTAGACACTTTGAAGGTGCAAAACGCATGCAGAACATGGCTACTCTAGCACTCAAACTTTCCAGAAAAGCTTGCAACTTACCTGGGTCTCCACTTAGTAGCACAATGTCGTCTGCATACTCTAGATCAGACACTGTCACCTGGAAGTAAATCGATGCTGCTATCCTCACATGAGGATAGCACTGTTTCAAGAATTGAATCTATCACGAAGGTAAATAGAAACGGAGAGAGGGCAACCCTGTCGAACATTAATTTCCGCGGTGAACTCGGATGAAAAAGTGCCATAAGCTCGGACTCGGCTTCGGCTACTAGTATAAAGCATTTGTAATATTGCGATTAACTTCTCGGGAACTCCCTTCAGGGAAAGGCAGCGCCAGAGTTTAGAGCGGTCGACTGAGTCGAGAGCCGCTTTTAGATCGAGGAAGATAAAAATGGTGGGTCTACGAAAGGATTGTCCGTGTTCCAGAATTTGACGAAGAGGGAAGATGTGGTCGAACATGGACGAGATGGAAATACAATACCTTTATGAAGTCTACGAACCATTTTGATAAATAAATCCTAGTTATGCTTTTCATTGTAGCTTTTTTATTTTACAACTGATGCATCAGCAACCATCGTCAAAATTGAGAAATAGTACATTCTCTGATGGCATTCGGTTTATAGAAGCGAAGACATAAGTGGATGCTCTTACAGATATGTTGCGTTTGACGTGCGACAATATCACATTAAATCCCGTGAATGAAGCTCTAAACCACAGGCGTTGGGAGGAACAAATGTGATGAAGGTCACGAGTTCGGTCAACACCTTGTATATGATTCAGAGTATGTCCACGGGCTGTTAGAAACAGTTGTTTATTTTTCTCTGTTTAGGTTCTGTAAAAATGGGTTGACCATTGATGACAATACAATCACTTACATCCGCTGACCGCAAATCACCCGGTTCCAGTGAGTCGCCATGCGAATCGGGCTGTTGATTACTATCCATTTTCGATGAATTTGCTGTTTGAAAGTCGCGCGGTTCGGGAAGTGGTGGTGTGGCTTCCGGTGTTTTCGTTTCCTGAGAGGATAGTGACGGTAGTCCCAGTGGCTGTGGTGGTGGTTGATCCCTATCCGTACTCGTCACCTCAGAGGGGGTGGAAGCAGCTGCTGTAGCACTTGGGGCAGGGGAGGGAGACATTCTTTTGGCAAGCGAAATAGGAGTCCCCGATTCGGATTGTTTGGATGAGTGCCGAGATCGACGGCGTTCTCGGCGTCGAGGTGTGACATCTCGCCATTCGTCAGTTTCCTCTGTGTTGTCCTCGGTGGCGGCCGGAACAGATGACACATCGAGTGCTTTTGGATCGATCGGGACGAGATTTGTAGACGAATCGTCCGTCAGATTAGGCAGACTGGGTGCGATTGTTTGCTCAACAGGAACAGGGTTCTTTGAGTCAAGATCTGATGACTGACCTATGGAACAAGAAGACACAAACGTTCACTAAAGTACAAATTGCGTAATCACTATGCTATAGGGTACGTAACTATATATATACCTTACTCGTCATTTTCCTGTGCTAAAGTTGTGTTCCCACAGAAACGAGAGAACGAAAAGTCAATATCCGAATCGGTGAACAACAGGCACCTCACCTAGAGGAGTTGGCTAAAAAGTACCAATCAAAACGAACCACGATGAGGTGTACAAACCACACTCACCCACACCTTCTTGGTTATAGTAGTGGCCATTGGTTAGATTGAGCATCGATCTGTAACGGAAACCTGGAACGTCTGACCGCGTCAAAAAGGCGTATGATCCGATAAACTGGACACCGGTCATCAATGGATCGCGGTTTTCAAACACCACTTCGCTGCCTCGCGAGCCAGACTTTGGCTAGCCGAAGGCTCCGATTGTGAATTCCCTGAAGAAATTTCACTTGTCTTAGCCTGAACGCAGCAGTATCGAGCCCACAAGCAGATGACAGGACCTTTTTCTTTATTGTAAAGATTATTGTAGCGTGATTTGTTTGGCACAGTCTGGACCCAGACGCTCGTGAAATGTATAAATATATCGGTTAGCTTTTCCTAATACTATTGGATCAGTAAGTGGGTTTCCTCAATTCGCCAATGAGCAGCTGCCTTCTCATGCCGTACACTGATTTGTCGAAAGGTTCAAACCCAGGTTATTCTCACTCCAGTTTACTCATCTGACTGGTCATTTTCGGAGCGTGACCGTAGATGGAGGCCTCCAGTTCGTGGAGCGGCAGATGGGTGCAATAAATGATGGAAATCCAAGAGAGTGTTCCGTGAGACGAGTTTTCCAATTCACGATGGTCACACTAATACCTGAAACGTGGGTATAAAAACCCTGAACTGGGAACTTGTTCAAATAGATTGTTTTAGGCTTCCGGTAATGGGTACCCGAGATCGTTATAATCAATGGTTAGAGACATTGAGTGACATGGCTGAGTGTCGTATACAGTAGCGCTCGTGGATCTACAGGGTTGTGGTGCCGCAGTGGTCTACTCGCTGTCACCGGCGTGCTTTGAACCCTGTGGTCCGAGGTTCGAACCCCGCCATCACCACAACCCAACTTTGGTGGTAAACTTTCGACCGATTGAATACCACGCCTAACCTATAGTAGGGGCCTTATGCGTTCCGTCACTCCAAGTCCCGTGTCTTATGTTGCCGGTGAACAGTATGTCTTCCTGACTGCTGTTCGTCTGCTGTTTAGGACGCAGTAATGTAATAATAATAAAAATTCCCATGCAACCTTAGCCTTCACAGTTTCTCTATTTCCATTCTGACAGCAAATTGAAGAGCCCAATCTTTCCTTTGTTCTTTTATCCAAAAGGACAGTCAAAACCACGGTTAATGGTTGAATAAACTGAAATATCTCAGATGAGCTACCTGAACCCCTTTACTACTCGGGAGTGGCATAGTCTTGAGATGGATGGTCTGAGAGATGAGCAATAGACTGCAAACGGACAGGTGTACCATCATGGCGGCACGATCCGCAGTTTCAAGACTGAGTCACGGGGGTTATGCCAAGCGCGTTTAATGAGAATTACGCAAAAAATGATGGTTAATACTGTTTCTGTAACTGTCGAATTTGATGATAAATTCGTCGTGTAAATGAGGCATGAGCTGAAAAGCTAGGAAGTACTGGACACCTGTTTCGACCTGGTTGGGTCTCATCAGCGGTGCGAATCCATCGACCCTGAATCCTCATGAGTCCACATCAATCCTCTTTGTTGGTGTGAACAACCGCGAAGTGTTTCGTGATCTATTGTTTCAGGTACCCATTTGGAAAACGTCAGGTAAAACTTTATTTCAAATATTTTTAATTATACCTTTTTGCAAATTATTGTTACGTCATTTCTAGCCTCTCCGTTTGCTTCCATTTTTAGACCTATGCCTGGTCAACATTGTGCATTCCCATATGGTTACATCAATTTTCAAGGTTACTAGACCTTGGGGCCGCCACGACTTACATAAAGATGAGTTGATGCTGTAAATTTGATTAGTGTCAGGTACATGTTTGGTTGCTTTTCGCTTGATTTCGTGGCTGGAAGAAGGCTACTAGTGCAAGCGGCGTGCATTGCTATGCTGTAATCGTGATTTCGGGGCTAGAGGACTACACGGTCATTTAGGCACGAGCTCCGTAATGTTCAGAATTACGTCGTCGCTATGATTTCTCGTGAGTAGACAGAAAACGGATGTACTATATCGTCACCCGGATTGAACACGCCATAGAAATAGTTTGGAAATTTGGACGGGAAAATAATCCTCTAACAGAATTGGACAGGGGTTATTGTGCAATCCGATCGATTGAGGAGTTGAGAGAGTGGTAGTGCTCGTGATTCGTACGTGACAGCTCAGTTAACTTGATTCGTTGAAGTGACAATACATTACACCAGTTGGTTTTCCCCTGTGCGTCCCTTTCTTGAACGTTTTATGCTGGATGTGCTGATGGGATAAAGATTCAACCTGTGTGTGGGAACGTGACGTTGTGCAAATCAGCAAGCGAATTGATATCGAGGCTAAAATTTCATTCCATAAAGGCTGAAAATCACGGGTAAAGGTTGGATAATCAAGGGAAACACTGAAGTCTTGACTGCATCATCTCGGTGAAATACACTCCTAGACTCACCCGCGGGGTGTGCACGCTCATCCCACACGAACGAACGTGAAGAAGATGCAGGCCTGGATCTGATTACCGGTTCCGGTGGCTTCAGTTGTTCATGAATTTCAACAGAAGGACTTCGGGTTTTGGATTTTAACCCTTGCCGAAAGGATTCCACGACAGGAGCAATTGCGGGACGAATTGGTGGGATATTGAGAGGCGAAGTATGCGAATCAGGGAAGCTAGGAGTTGTTGAGCATTCTTCGCGACGTCTCCGTCTTCCAGAGCTGCGTCGGGGCCCATCGCCCGCACCATTTCGCTAAGACAGGCAGAAAGAGAGTAGTGTGCATTGATGGAATTCAGTGAAACCAAATGGTAAAGAAAGTGTCTAATTAACCTATCGGAATGTCCTGAAATTTGCCAAATCGTGAAGATGAGTAATCAAGATGAAAAATCAAACAGAAAGATGAAGTGATATAAGAAACTCTCGGAAGTAGATTTTTCGTACCGTGATCCGGTTTTTTTAAAAACTATCAGTCACGTACTTAAAGCCCAGCCAATAGATATAAGTTCCGAAAACACTAACATCATCGAACCTCAGGGACGGTCTGGCCAAGTCACCAGTTCGTCGCTCCCTTAGACGAAAAATGAAACAAGCTGGAAATGACGGAAACCGGTACTAGTCTAATGACTGGTCTGGGGTATGCATACAATGCACTGCCAAGTGAAGGTCCAGGTAAGTTGCTAGCTACTCTGCATAGCTTGAGTGCTAGTGTAGCCTCGTTCGGCATAGGTTTGCATTACAAATGCAAATGTTGCGAAGGACCGGGTTAGTCCAGCTGTCAATCTCATTCTAACCAGAGAACTTGTAAAGAAAACATTTTTTATTTGGGTAGCTATATCTCACCTGGCTGGTGATGCGTAGACAAGCTCGATTGGCATTTGTCGACTGCAGACATCTACGGCATCGTCGCGACATCCGGCTGTCAACGAACGGTCGAGGCTATACTGCAGCAATTCGGTCAGTGTTGCGATGTGGTGCATAGACTTTGTCGATAGGGGAAAAAGATGAAGAGAAAGTTTCGGTGTTCGAACGCTGATGCTACACCGCTTGGCAAGAGTTTGGCGAGGAAATCGGGCAAGCAGCACCTAGATTAGGCCCCGAATTTCAGGTCACTGCAGTTGTTCATAAGAGCAAGTATTCAACCTCCATATATAACTTTTACCGGGACATACGTTACGCGTGTTACCAAACAGATTGCCATCGTGGACGACGTTTGCCGAGGTAGTTGATGGCTGGAAAAAAGTCAGAATATGAAAACCCTGCCCAAGAGACTTGCTTACACAGGCCGGTTTAGGCCTCCTGAATGGGGATCCCGGGATCACCGTAACCGGTGGTAAGACACCAACGGATAGGGCGGAGTGCTGCAAACAGTGAAATAGCTTCAGGTTGACGAGAAGTATCCGTCAAAAGTGCCTAAACTCCTCTATAAACTCTGTATAAGATGGATCTTACAGGAAGCCGTGGTCAATTACTGCATTGTCCAAACTACACGGGACTTCACACAGGCGACCTTAATTTCAAAATGCACTAGATAGCACAACTTTTCTCCAGCTGCCCATTAATTTTCACCATAGTGGAGACCACTCAGGGTGGTTCCCGATATTTCGTATGTGAGCATGGTAATCCTAGCAAGTTAACAATCGTGAAATATTCTTTTCGGAAGAAGGAAATTGAAGAGAATCTCTTTGTCAACTGCGCGGTTGGGTGGTTAGGAGGCTTAGAATACCGTTACTAATGCACTTTGGGGATTAAGATTCACTGAACAAAAAAGAATTCCATAGTGCATGGAATTAAAGAGGGCTTCTACAATCCAGTTCAAGATGCAGCGAACCGCATTCCGAGATTCGACATTCACCTTATCGTAGAAGACTGGGATGCAAGCACTGGTCCATTAGACGAGCATACTCGGCATGTTCTGGAAAAGTTCGTCCTTGGTCCATGTTGCTAAAATGGCGAACGCTTAGCCACATTTGTTGACCTCAACCGGCTGGTCGTGGCTAACACCCGTTTTCAGCACCCCAGAAAACACCTACTTACTGTACTCAGATGACGGTCAAACGGCACATCGATGATTACATTTTGACACACCCTCACTGGGTCTCTTTGGTGGAAGAATGCCGTTCCTACCGCGGCGCAGAAACTAGAAACAGCAACGGCACGGACCATACCCTTGTACACGCCCGCTTTATAATCCACCTGACTGTTTGCCGGAAAATTTGTCTCCCGAGAAAATTCAACGTCGCGCTCTTGAAACGACCGGAGGAAAGACAAGCGCTGGTGGACGCAACCGCTTCCAACATAGACGCAACTTCTTTCAATGATTCAACTATCAACGCACAGTGGTCCACGCTGAGGACGTACATCAGGGAAGCGGCACTAGGGCAGTTTGGTAAATATCTTTGCTACAAGGGATTGGATCTCCGAGCGTACACTGCAGTTGTCCGCAAAGGCAAGAGATACACGGCTGATCAATTCTCGTGAATTTCGTATTTTGCGTCGAAAAGCCACACGCTCTAACAAGATGAACCGTGAACAAAACTAGAAGGCGATTGCACACAGCATGAAGGCTGCAACCGACGCAGCAGCTTTTGGAAACCTTTTTCATCTAATCCGTGTCGCAGCAGGAAAGAGACAGACATCAGAGACACCGTTGCGCAGTATCACGAGTCGATTTCAAGGAACTGAACAGAAAATGTTAAGATGGTTCTAACACTTCGACGGGCTGCTCGACCGCACATAAAACCTATCTGGTTCGCCACAGGTGTCAATCTGTTTGGAGACCTACGACTTCTGTTGTGACCCACCCAGCACGACAGAAACCGTCAAGGCATTTACTTCTCTGAAAGGCAGGAAGGCTCCTGAAGATGGAATACCACCAGTTATTCGAAGCTTGCCTACAACTCTGATCGATCCGCCACATTGTCTTTTCCATTCCATTTGTGAAAGAAATTTTTTCTAAAAGATTGCGCAACTTCAATTTTAGTCCCGGTTCCAAAAAAGGGTGACAGATCTAGATGCGAAAATTACAGGGGTATTAGCCTCATTGACATTGCGGTCAAATTGTTTGCACTGATACTGCTTCGTCGCCTCGTAGTCGTCAGAGATACACGCACCTGCCCGAACCAAGGGGGTTTTGCAGCGGAAGAGGCTGTGTTGAACAA